TGAATGGGCAAAGTTATCTGAAGTAGGATAACATTAGCCCACTTGGCCATTGAAAGACCATTCGAATGCGACCCTTTTTGTATGAGGATTGTGGGTATGTTTTCGAAATTGCCAGCGGCTTCGACGGTCGACGAATTTATGATAATGAAATGATGGATGAGCATTGTGTTGTTGATGTGTGGTGTTTTTTTTTTTTGTTTTCTCTTTTATATTTTTTTTTTTTAATTTTTATTTTTATTTCAACAATTTAACTGTTTAAGTTCTACTCGTAAATGAGTTAAATCGTTAAAACGTTGAATTTTATTCAATTTTTTTTAAATGTAATTTTTTCGCCAAATTAAAAAGGTTCGCGCCACGGTGCTTTATTTTAAATTGTCATGTTTTTCTATTTCAAGAGAATATAAAAGGAAAATAAAGATCAGCAATTTTTTAAAAGTATTTTGAACCGGGAAACAGTATTTTTGTTTTCAAATTTGACTCAATGTAACGGTTTTTACTTGTTGGTAATTTAATCGTTTGCTTGAAATGAAAAAAGATTCCTTACGACATGAAAGTTAAAGACAAGAAATTAAGACTTGCAGGTTGTCGACGTGTATTTTTAGCCCGCTCTTTTAAAGAAGGATTCTGTAATTAATAATGTAAACTTTTTCATAATTTAAAATTCCGAGTTTCATTTTCAAAGGTATTTAAGTTTCAAGTTAATGACATTTGTAGAGTAAACACAACCTCAGTTGCACTTATAATGTTTAGAAAAGTGTGTGCTTACAATATTAAACAATTGTTATCCATATTCTTAAACATAACTAGTGGTTCATTTTTCTTTTTCTTTTTCTTATGTAGTGGTTTGCCTACCCGTGCTCTGCCTTTTGTGCCCTGTCCTATTTTTCATTTTGGGGTTTTTCCCCCTTTGGGGCCTCCTTTTTGCCGCTGGCGGCTTGTTTGCTGGATCGGGGGGGGGGGGGGGCTGCGTTCATTGAAACGCCGCCTTTCCTTGTCGATCTTGTTTATCATATTTTACTAATATTTACATTATTATTTCCAAAGCTGTGAGTAATTACAGATATTATTTACGATAAACAAAGATTAAGGCATTAAACAAAAGAGAAGTAAAACCCAGAATATATTTTATAATTGGTCATAAAAAATAATTTATACAATTAACACATCATTAATAATGCGGTATATAAATATAGTTAGCTCTCTCATATACACATACATGTACATTATTTTGTCAATGAATACTTTTTATGAACAATAGAAATTAATTGGGAGTTCATTCATTATAAATGTCCTTTTATTTTTTTCAAGTTTCACCATTGAAGCCTTAAAAATACTTTTATACAATGGACGCGGTTGTTTGTTAATTCTATCTGTTTTTCAGAATTTAAGGGAACACATAAAATTTTTTCTCTAGTTTTTTACACAGTATGCAACAGCTTTTCGGTTACCATTATACCAAAGCTTCTTCATTTAATTCGTTATTTTTACACGACTGACAGCTGTCTGATATTCTACGTAAATTGTCGTCACGATCTTGATACACACAAACAAGAAATGTGCCCATCATTTAACTCAAAAACCCTTGTAGAGCTTGAAATCCTCCCTGAAAAACTGGTTGGATAGGTATTTATAACGTTTTTCCCTGCCAGTTCTAGTTGTTGTACAGCCTTCCAGTCACTAACATATATAGACGTTTTCCAGCCTGTATTCACGGTGAACATTTTAAAAGCCGGAAATTCGAACAGGACTATTTATCTCCACTAAAACTTTGCCAAATTCATTTTACCTTGAAAGGGGTCAAGAATTTTTTTTTTAAAACCTTTTTCCTGGGATAAAAATTACATGACACAACAAGCTTATCATTTTTGCCTGTAAGCAATACCAACGACATGTTTCATTGAATATTCACCTTATACGAATCAGCAGGAAAACTATGTGTTTGATTCTTTAGTGACATAAAATGGAACGCCGCTTTCTTTATCACTTAGGTACCCAGGTTTCACGAACAAAATCTAACATCTGTTGATAGCTGCAACATCATGCGGTGAATTATTTAGTTTTATCTCCGACACAGCTTTCTTCTGCATTGTATCATAATATTTTACTTGTTTGTTATCATAATCACAAAACACGATCTTATCCGGCTGAATAATCTGTATCCCGGTTATGATGCATTTCTGATCATCAGATGCGGATTTCAAATTTATATCCTCGACAACTTCAAGATTTAAAGTCTGATCCTCAGGCGGTATTGATGTATCTTTCATAATTGCATCATTTTCACTATCTGATGATTTAAGAGATACAATTTCCCCTAACTCCTTATATTTTTCTAACAAATCAATAATTGCCTGATGTTTGACAAATCTTACTGTTTCATTATTGTTAATTCGACTGTGATGTTTTGCCTTCATCTTCATTTCTACAAGTCGTTTCTTGGCTATTTTCATTTCAACATACAGTTTGTCAAGACAGTTCTTTTGTATCAGGTTATCTAAGCATACCTGTTTCTTTACCGTTTCGTCTTTCATGTCTTCTATATCTGTTGACAAACTCTTCAGATGCATTTGTTTTAAATCAAGGATGCTCTCCGCGTTCTTGACAGCAATTTGTTCCATATCGTCCAGACGTGTATTTATTTCTTTTCTAAATTGATGAATTGCCTTTATAACCTTATCATTGATTTTTTCAGAAATTGGCTTTTTATCTCATCTTTTGCTCTCTTTATACCTAATTTACAAACTTCCTCAAGTGATTTCATTTCCACCATTAATTCATTGAGTTCCTCACTGTCTAGAATATGTTTTGAAAGTTTCGGTATGTATTCCACCTTACAAGTCCTATGATCTAACGTGACACAAACACTGCAAACAACAATGTCGTGATCTCTGCAGTAATATTTCTGTTTTTTGTTTTGATGATCAGCACAACCATCGAAGTCGTCTGGAGATAATGGAACTGTAGGTGTTGTTGGCATGGAGTTTTCGTCAAGCAGAACATGGTTACGTACAGGTGCTGGTTTCTTATGATGCTTGTAACAGGTTTTACAAAGATGTTCATTGCAAGTGGTACAAAACCCCTTAGCTGGATTTCGTTCACCATCTCTTTCACATGGGATACAGAATAATAAAATGTCTTCAGCAGACCCATGTGATACCGAATGTGTCAATTTATTTTGTCGCTTGCCAGAAACTTCCATTATTAATTCTAGAATGTAAAATTTTAATTACTTCATTTAAATTCTTGGTGATTACGATTTTACTAATGTAACATCAAACCAAATTGAATAATCAAAAGAATAATGTACATCTTAAAAAAACTCCTAGACAACCTTTTTTTTACTCAGTATAATGATTTGTCAGTTAAAATCAATAATAGAAGTTTTAGTTTTTTTTAAATCATATTCCGATGATCAAATTGTTCTTTAAAGCTTCATAACTCAAGTTGAGTCAACAAATTTAAAAGAAATTAAACAAAAGAAAAATGTTCTAAGATTTTATGAAATTTAAAAAGAAATTAAGGAACGACTGATTTTTGCTGTGATACTACATTTTTTGTCCTACATTTTCTTTTTAATTTATCTATGAAAGCTCGAAATTTGCAATAAAATGTCAGTGAATTTTAAAAGAACGATAAGATATGAATACTTGTTATATCTGTACACAATGATAAACTGGGATATTTAACCTTCAATCTTCAAAGTTGTATAAACAAACAGGTTATAACATGTTTCCCACTTCTCTCTCAATCCGTATCAATTCAAATTCAACTTTAAATACTATTATTTGTATATGCTATTTTTTTCATGTTTTATTTAGTGAATTAAAAGGAAAAAAAAGAGATAGTTATCTAATTTTCCTAGACGTTTAATTAACGAATCATAAAAAACGTTGTATTTTAATTTGCTGATTGAATGTGTATGTTTAACTTCAAGATCCACTTTATCAATATAATCTCATTTAAATAAAAAACAACAATCAGTGTTTTGTTAGATGAAAGGAATAATTTAATAATGTGAATAACAAACCTTAAATAACCTCTTTTTTCCAAAATTTATATCTGAACATTTTTCACTGCGAGTTTAACCTTCGCCGCCATTTTGTCCTCTGTTTTATCGGGTTTCGCGGCCGGAATGCGAAAGTTAAAATGTAACACATAATCAACATAAAACGTTAAACAAACGTGATTGTGCAGATTTAAATAATGTCGTTAGACATATGTAATATTTACACCTGTGCTAAGAAGCAATATTTGTCCATATTCTTCTCTATCCTACATAATAAGGGCAACAAAATTATATGCTTTCACAAAGTTGAAGGTACTTAATCTTTTCGTTGTTTGTTGAATAATGAAAATGCATGGAAGTCGTTATCAAGTATAAAATGTTCTTTCACAAAATTATGTTTTGCACATAATGTATAATGACTCTTGGTTAAAGCGTAGTTGCTTATTTTTTGTTTCCTACATTTTATATAGGAAATATTTGTGATACTCTAGTACCCATGTAATTCATACATGTTATAACTTAATTGATACATTTGTGATTTTGAAGTTTAAACTCGGATACCATTAGTAACATGAATAATCTTCCTAACGCTCAGCTGGTGAAAAAATTTAGGGAAGGAACTCCCAATTAAAATTAAGATTCTTTTTAATCATGCAAAGTTAAATACTGGGTTGTTGCTTTGTTATTTTTGTTATTTAATTTTTTTATTGTTTACTTTGCCAATTCAATAAAATGCACGTTTTGTAGGTACTACGAAACGTCTTTATATTTTACGCATATACATGCTTTAAGATTCCATTAAAGCGGACACCAATCTCGTGGCATGCTGCACCGATTCTGCACGTTATTATTGACTGATTTTATTGACCTGACAATTATGAATTCATTATAGCACTCATTTCAATATTCGATCTTATTGAGAGGTGTTCGGTTCTATCCCTACTGCTGCCATTGTTTTAGCATACGTTGTCTTTTTCTTTATTTTTGCGGTATATTTTAATGAAATCAATATCTAGTGTGTTGTACGGCATTGAAATGACATTTATTGATTTTAATCTGCATGAATGTAAACACATTATTTCTTAAACTATGTTCGTTTGGTTTTTTTTAAAGAGAATAGACTAAACAAAATGACTGAAAACAAATGAATCAACGTAACAAATAATCATAGCTTTAATAATGTTGAAAATATTGATAAGAGAAAAAGCTTGGACCTACGCGGTCTTCAACTTAAAATACATATAACTAAATTCTGGAAACAAAGTGATCTCTCGGAAGCATTAATCACAACAAAATAGCATAAGAATTGCAGACTCGGTTTGATTGAGTCTGTACATGAGGGATAATGAATAAGTGCAACATCCCTCACGCCCCCTAGCACCGGCTTCAGCGGTACTCAATTCTCAACACATTATAGTGTTGGCAACAATGATCCCGAAGGACCAGAAAATGTAACATCATTTTACAAGTAGAAGACAGACATACATTATTTGTATTAGTACTGCACTCGTTTAGCAAGTTCTGGTACAGAAACTGAATGACTAACACAAAATTTTGTTAGTACTGGTAGAAGTACTAGATTAATGTCCACAAAAATGTGGTACTTGTAATGCAAACCCGAGACAGTACTTTGGTTTCCATAATAACTTTTATCTCATATATTAATTTATTTCATTTAAGAAAGATCAAACTTTTCAATATCATTAAATAACTTTTTTCAAAAAAATCCCTGTTATAAAAATTTATCTGAGAAATACAGCTGTAGAGAAAACATTATGTGGAACGTAGTTTCAGCTTGTACGTGTATCTGTTAATAACAAGGAACTGGTTTAAGGACCTCCCAATGTGACAGGTCTTTAGATAAGTAAACCTCGTCAGCAGTCAAGAAAGATGCTTCTGCTTTCTTGTATATTTTCCAGATATCATGGTATAGGATGGGCAGAACAACAAATCTGTTTGGGTTATCTTTCAAGAACTTGTTATTAAAAAAAATGTGAACAAAAGGCCAAATTTCATTGATGCGTAGAGGAAAATCAAGTGTATCACATTTGACTAAATATTCAACTAGAGAATGTAAAATATATGTCACACAAGTTGTGAATTTAAAATTATCTACAGCGTAAAAATTATTGACAAAACTGTAAAGCACAAAGAGTTGAGACGACAATTAGAATCATATTCTTCAATAAATGTGTAAGCATGCTTTCTTCATAAAGTGTGATATCTCTTAAAATATTTCAGATATGAAAGGTAAAATCTGCAATACAAAAAAAGGATTAAATAAAACCATGAAATTTCAAAGAGAATGTTTATTGAGAGTGCAATGAAATCGACAATAATATTTATACCTATTGACATTTTTTACTTTATTGTTATAAACAAACACTGCCTTAACCAAAGGAACACACTACATGATCTTTAATTGCCTCATTTTAGTCCATATTACTGGAATCCAAGGCATCAGCGTGTATTTGTCTTATTGTTGGCATTGAGTCCGTCGACAGGCATTGTTTCCATTTATTTCTAATAAGGTAAATTATACAAATATTTAAAGATTCATATCAGCAAATGATTCAGAATTATCAGTATCAGTTGCAACAATATTTATATGTTGCATACTGCTGGTGTCATTGCTGCGAAAAAGACTTATTAGACAGTTGGTGCAAGAGTATGTAAATGGAAGAACAACGGAACTCGTCCTTTGAAAAAAAAACGCATTTTGCACGATATTCGTGGATAGAAATAAACGCCATTGGCACGCCGTCAATGTATGAATAATACACAGGGAAAGGCAAAACGCTGGTACGACGGCAAAACGCTGGTACGACGGCTATGAAAATGTTTACCGATCATATAGAAACTTCATCTTTTTCCGTTCCGGCAAGTCCTTAAAGGTCCCATTTTACAATTTTGTATCTGTTACATAAGATACCTTCTTTTTTTAGAAATACATATTAAATAACAAAGAGACTGTATTACATTAAGTAGAGAAGTATGCTATAGATACATTGTGCCTTCTATTGTATGCAAATATACCTCATTGAACATAAAAAAAATAATCAAACTTAAGTTAATCATACGATACAATCTGACGTAAGTCCTGATCTACATAAGTTATTCCTTGCCAGTAGATCTGATTGCCACCATATTTGTTTCGTCTTCATTATGATTCAGATTCCCGGAAGAAAAAACTATTTTTAACCATTCAATTAAACCGTCCTTTAAAGATAGGCATACATATTTTTGTAAGAGAAAACAATTGTTTGAATTATTTTGAAAAAAAAGGAACTGGAAATTACAAACGTATGTTTTAATAGGCCAGACTGTTTTGCCAGTTTACCTGCCGGCTATATGGACAACGCCATGTTTGTTTCTGAAATCGTGAAAATTGCCTACTCTGTATTGGTTTCTTAGCAATTAAAATTAAAAACCGCCTCGATTTAAAAATTGCGAAAGCTCGTCGATGATTGGTTGTTTGAAAGGTCCAGAGAAGGTGACCTGCTATTGGTTCCCGTCAGATTCTAATGTGTTAAGAGCTGATTTTAATCATACGACAGAATGTTTTACTTTTACTTGACACTTTCTGTTAATGTTGTTCAAAATAAATTATATAACGTTAAAGGATACTCTATTTTAAGATAATCATTTTGCCGAAACAAAATTAAAACATCATTTTGTAAATTGAAATTCAATTCATTCTAATCATATTTCAAAAAATCATGATTTTGCAAAGGTTCTCAAAACATAAAGGAAAGAAAAAGATGATATCTTTCAGTTTAAAATACAAGTACAATTATTCACAAACAATTGTGCAGATCGCAATTAAATCAGTCATGTGATGAAAATAATACACCGTATACTGATATCTTTAACATGACAACTTATCAATTAGAAAACTATTGTAATACAATTATCTCTTATTTTAATTACAAAATATATGTAATGTCTTTTGAGTACAAATAAATAACTGATTTTGCAGTATTTATATCTATATTTCAAATGGGTTACTAACGCAGAAAGGGCTACTTTTTACTTCATTGTGGCAATTTACTTGGATTTTAAATGTCGTTTGCAATGTGAAAATTACTCCTTTTTTTATTTTTTACCTTTAAATACATGTTCAAGATTTCCATTAAAATCAGCTTGAATATATAGGCATGCTGTTTGATTCTTATTAAATCAGTCATACTACTGTGTGTGTTTGTTTGTTTCATTTTACGCCTTTTTTCCAGCAGTAGTTCAGTCATATAGGCGGGTAGTTTCCTTACCATCGTTCCTGGAAAGTTACTCCAGTACTAGACTACCTTCCTCCGCGCTAAACTACCAAAGCATTTCCAGGGGATCAAACCCACGCCAGAGAGATAACTGGATTAGAAAGCATCGATCCTAGCCCCTCGGCCAAGGAGGCGGTCCATACTACTGTGTCGCGCCAGACAAAGTCAATACTAACAAACACTATCCTTTACGTCTAGAGTAAGAAGTACAGAATTTATAAATTCGAAAAAACTTTCAATTCTTCTATTAAAGAATTATTTCATTGTTTGCTTTTATCATCAGCAAATCATATATCTAGATCTTATTTTATTGTTAAAACTATGTAATAGTTGATTGATTTCTTTTTATTAAGCTACTAGGTGTGTTTGTTATGACAATTTATTTTACTGTAACTTACAATGTCTTGACAGTTTTATCATGTTCAAATAGGTTAAAATGTGCAATATGAACAACAGCTTTTTTGTGTATATAATTGATTTGAAATTAAAATTATATGTTATCACTTGTGTCTGAAAGAATTATAAAGGTAATGCTGTGTTTTTATCATTATCAATTATTATTATTTTACAAAGAACTGAGAGATTTTCTGACATTAAAAAAATAAAATAAATAAATAAATAAAACAAATATTAAATAAATAATGCTGCAATCAAGCAGAATACGAAGGGAGTTTAATCTGCCTGTCTTACCAATACATTAATGGACACTTATCTTCAAAATCACAATCACAAGACAATTACGCTGGGCTTATATAATACATATTAAACAGAATATATGCATTTAAACAAAATATTTTATCTTAGAAAAATACAAGAATTCGATAAGTAAGGTCAATTAATAAAAGTATTATTCACTTATGTCATTATTTTTTACTGTTTTAACTAATGCAA